TTCCACCGAGCGGGAGAAACTCGTAGACGTAGACGAGGCAGCAGTGTATACGAAATGCAGCCGCGTGCGTTTCGTTCATTACTTTAATTTCGTTTAACGAAGAAACCCGCGCTCCGTCGAGTAGAACGGTTCGTTGCGCTCGTTTGAGGAGACGCGCGGAGAAACGGCGCCGCTAACGAGAGGAAATCGGACTGGAACGCCGGGAAACAAGTGGAAAAATAGTGAAAGATCGCGTATGGTTGCGCAAACAGGATGCCCGAGCGTGTTACGTTTCCTTCTGTTAATGTACCAACTGCGAATGCTGCACTCTTTAACTCTATCCTTCGGACGATTAATACGCGGGAAGAAAAAATTCTAATTCGTTTGGAATGAAAAATGAAAGAGAGCAGAAACGTGAAATGAACTTGGAGCCGATAAACCGTCGTCGGTTAGGTTGCTCGAGGTAATTCTCGAAAAATTGATAGCAAGGATCAAGCGCGCGAAAGATGGAATTGGTTCGCGAGGAACAAATTACACGAGAATAGGAAACGGAATTTCTTGAATAACTTTCGACGTTACAGATTCCCTTTGCCCGTAAATAGACGATTCCAGAAGCTACGGCTCTGTCGGTAACAGGGCGGCCTCGCACAAGAGTCCCGGAAATTGCCTCGCGGAAAACGCGTAGGTTTCGCGTGGCAATTTGCAAAGCAACGCTCGAAACTCAATTAACGCGACCGTTTACATGCGGCTGGACGAAGGGTAGCTTTTACAAGTAGCCTGCGCGGAGCCACCACCTGTGCGTGTTTTATTCTTCCAATTGGAACGCGTTCGTTCGCGCGACGAGTTTCTGATCACCGTGGAAAAATCACTCGGTCGAAAGAAAGCGAATACTTTTATACGAATTACGATACACGGTATTACGAATACTGCAGTAGGTTGGTTAGTTCGAAAATGTATATACGTATACGCGCTTTCTTCTCCCCTGTACGCCAAGGAAGAAAAGAACCGTTGGCTGTTGAAAGAGAAGACGCGAACGGTTGGAAGTTGCCCTCGAACTCGGAGAAAAGATTTCTCCGAGACTTTCACTGCGTAGACCGGTGTGAAAAGGGGCCGAGGATTTGCTCGGAAATTCGAGAATCGAGACACGAATGAGCGTTTCGTGGAACGAGCAGCCAGAATGTTATGGGAATGGACACGACGTCGATGATGTGTCACAGAGGCGTTACTGTGACGTTTGAAACGACAGAGGCACCTCGTTGTTTGCGCCAATCTGACGCAACGATGTTGTTGAATAATCGATTGCGCGATACTGTCCTCTATGCCGGAGTGTGCGAAAATTTGAACCCTTTAGACGTTTAGAGGAGGTTGAAAGAAGGAACCGATACTGTGTGATTTTGTTGAAAAACGAGAGTATTTCTGTTGAAAATTTTCAGTCCGATAATGCAGGCGGCCGACATCAGGTTCACCTTGTACCCCGTGGGCTTCATCATTAGCGCGGTGTTCCTGGCAGCGACGTTGGCCGCCGGTTGGCTGCTGCCAGCCTCTCATCACGTTCTGCACTGGCGCTGCCAGACTCATCATGTCGCCTGCCTGATGCTCGGTGATCTTCTCATGGCCATCATTCAGCTTGGCCATCATACAGCTCTTCACGGCGGAAGCTGCAAGGCGCTCGGTGAGTCATTGTGTCTTTTATCGCTCTTTTCTCTAACCGCTGCTTCCACCCCTGATTCGTCAACCGTGGCGGCTCCTCTCTCTCTCTCTCTCGACCCGCCACCGTTGCTCAGACCTTTATCAAGGAGATTAAATCGAAACGAACCACGAGGGATTCCAGGAATCGCGAAGGTAGCGGCTGGCGAAATTGTCCGCGATTAGACGTGTACAGTCGGTGGAAGAAATATGGCGGGAGTTTGTAACGAACGGATGAAATTAGAGAGAGCTCGATCTGAAAAATCCTCCGGCACAGAGTGTTTCATTCCCACAGAAATCTACCCTTTCCAACAACTCAATCTGAAGAACCCTCCGAGAGAGGAAAAGAGAAAATCGCGTTCACCGTTGATCGTTCTATCGTCGTCGACGTGGTACGATTCCGCGCGAAAATTAATCAACGATTGAATCGTATCGAATGGACTACACGTCGAACAAAACAAGCCTACAGGCGGCTCGTTTTGATCTGGAATTTTTGCCAATAGGAACAATCGTGTCCGGTGTTCGGTGGAGCAACGCGCGCCCCAGCTATGCGAACAAATATACACCGATGGAATTCGAATCAGGCGAAGCTTTATTTGCCGTGGCTGCGTCCCCCGAAACTCCGGGCTAATTATTCGGATAATCGTGCTAATCCCCCGGTAAAGCTTCGTCTCCTCCTCTTCACTGTCTCGCTCTCTCTCTCTCTCTCTTCGTCGTTTCGATCGCGAGAATCGATTACCGTGTACACCTGTGCGTGAGCAGAGCCAGAGTCTGGTCATCCGTGTCGGTGCACAGCGACTCTCATTTGCATCTCGGCTCTGTTTCCGGCATTATCGCTTTGTAGCCGGGCTTTTTCGTGCCGCTTGCTACCCACCACGACCAGATTTAACCCGGCCCATTCCGCGGGCTAATTATGTTGCACGGGGTGACCGGGGGAATTTGCATGGAGCGTATTTCTTTCCGCCGCAACACGGACCCTCGGAGTCTCTCCCGGCCATTTCCGGTCCCCGGGCGCCGCTAAATTTCCACCTGGATCGCACGTCCCGCTTGACAGACCGCCCCGATTACGACCTTCGCGTCCTTTCACCTGATGCTCGCACATCCGCTAGATTTTCCAAGGGTTGCTTGCTGCAGCCTGCACGTGAATACGGGGGAAAGAGAAATTTCTTGCGAGTGTTTCATTTTCAACACCTACGAAAGTTAAGCATAGACGATAATTACACGACCATCTTGGAATCTATTTCTCCCTGGCGGCCTCGAGCTCAAATTTATCAAGATTGACGAACACCTACGAAAGTTCAGCATAGACGATAGTTACCTAACGAAAGAATTCAGCTGAGAAAGTGAAGATCTATGTTTCCCTGGCGACCTTGAGAACGGTTTACATCGATTGCCACGTCGGGGAGAGCCTATCTATCATATTCGAGCCTCGAAGAAAATTGAACCCGCGTGAAAGGCTGTATTTCTCGAAATAAGTATACCTGGGATGATACCCTACAAGAAGAGTGCAGTCTCGTGTAGTGTCTGTAGCGGAGATTACAGCAAGTGTCGTCGTCACTTGGTTTTTTATTGCTTCCGGCGAGAGGAATATCGTCGGCAGTGTTCGGTTGCCGGGAAAGAGGACGAAGGGTCGCCTGGACGGTGGACCTGAGCGGAGAAAGGAGAAAGTGGGACGCCGAGTGACCCACAATCGGACTGCTCTCCACGGGTTTGCTTCTTGCTCGCTCTCCCTTACTATTCCCTCCCTCTCTCTCCCTCTCTCTCTCTCTCTCTGGAAGAAAGTTTTCCTACCCGAAGGTCTTCTTATCTCGGAGCCTTTTACGGGAAGCGAAGTTTATTGTATTGACACAGTTCGCTGATGAATTTGTTTGCTCGATATCGGAAGTAAATGGGAGTGACGGTGTGCCGGGTTGGATCCAGGGTGAGAGACTAATGGACTAAACGGCGATGCCGATTGTTTTAGGAGATTACGCGTTCCCCGATAGATGACATCATGGTTTTCGGTTTCCGGGTTCTCCGAGCGTCTAATTCGATCCCACAGCGAGATTGTGTCTTTCCTTTTTCCAGAAGAGATTGTTCGCAGTTGGTTTATAGGTCTTCTTTTGTCTCTGGAATATTCGTGCTGTTTTCGTTCCGCGGTTGCATAATCGTGTCACGTTACACTCCTTGAGACATCTTGCGCGTGTATGTAGAGATAAAAGGAGCAAACAGCGTACGCATACTCGACGGGGAGCAAAGTGAATAAGAAAAATTGTCCGCTGTTGTATTTCCTAAAACTCCGTCGGAACGATTCGAAAATAGGAAAAGGAGTAAATTGGCGTAAATTAATCTGGGCACGAGTGATTTAAAAAAAAGACGGTTGCACGAGCAATCGGAAAATTGAGCTGACTCGACGGATCGAAGCTCGCAGAGGCGGGCGACACGAGCTGTACTCGTTTCACCCGGTGGCGGAAGTATTAAAATTCATGAGCGTTTTTAATTCGATTAGTTCGGCGGTCGTCTTTCAGGAAACGGGCGTGTGGCAACAGTGGCCGGTTAAAAATTCAACTCGATTACATGTTGGCCCTGGTGAAATCTAGTTTTCCCGAACTGTTAACTTCTTCTTCTCCCCTAAGGCTTGCTTGCTTGCCTGCGCCTCGTCCCTCCCCTCCTCCACACCAGCCGGAATAATTCGTGGTTGGAAATTTGCTCGGTTCTTAAATCGCCGAGCGTGCTCGGACTGTTATTTCCGACCTGATCGTGATTCCGTTTCGCAATAAGGATTTTTCACAAGTGTGTGCATCTGCAGTGTGTTCTCTCTCTCTCTCTCTCTCTCTCTCTCTCTCTCTCTCTCTCTCTATTCATCTCCTGTTCCGAACGAAAAAGCAAACTCGGCGTGCGCGTGCGCGCGCGCGCGCGTGTGTATGTTGACTGGGTCGAAAGTTAGAATTTATTTTTCCAACGGCTCAAGTTCCCGGAAGCGACGAATTTCCTCGTCTCCTCCGTTTCGTTCTACCTGTTTGCTCGTTGAAATTCCACGCTGTCGAAGCTGCGTGTGCGGCTGCTCGTTTTACGCCGCGAGGGATTCATCGATACATGGTCGTTTTACGTAACGCAACACCTTACCGTATACATACCTCGAAGGATGATCGTACGAGAGAGAGAAAAATTCGCCTTTTTACTCGTCGCCAGATACGCGTTCGTCCCGTCTTTGCGTGCGGTTTCCTCGACGTTGGCGAGTTCCAACGCGTGCGGACGCGGCGGCGGCCTCCAGTGTCCGGTTACGAGGCGGTGCACGCGGCAGAATTCAACTCTCCGCTTGTCGCTACCGTGACGTTGCTCCGGTCCACGCAGGAATTTCAGCGAGGCGACGATTTAGTAACGGTAACGGGAGTGCGTTTTTCTTCTGGCTCTCTTGTGTCTCCTTCTTTCTCTTTCTTTTGTTTTTTTTTTTTGTTGCTCGGAAAGAACGGTAGGAAAGTGTCGACGCGGCGGTATATATTGTTCGCAGAAACTAGCAGATTCTTACGAATCAACGCGGCGTGGCCTTGCTACGTCGAATAACGGGTTAACCGCTCGTTCAGACAATTACGGGACTTTTTTTCCGCGTTTTAGACGACAACTGGTATGCGGCCGGGACTGTTACGTGAATAGGTTATGCCGTTTTTATCGATCGAGGGCCGATTTATCCGCCTTGAATTCGCGTTGCTTAATCCCTCAACGTGTAACAACGTGTCAAACATTTTGTGAGAAAAATTGTAATGCTGTCTTGAATTTGTAAGACTGAAGATTGCTAAATGTAATTAATCTGTGACAGATTAGCTTTCGTTACCTGATACAGCAGTGAAACGGTAAATGGCTGACACTAGGATACATAATCGGAAAAGAAATCTTAGGTTAAGGGGTTAATAATGGGATAGTTGATCGTTGATGAAACTGAAAATTTCATCTGTGTCGTCGTTAGAACGGCTGAGTAATTTCTGTCGATGTCGGAGCGAGCAGAAAATTTGCATTCGCATCGTTAAACGATCCCGTTTGATCGGCACACCCGCTAAACGAGGGAATGCCTCGATCTCGTAACGCTTTAATTGCGTTCTCCGTGCAAGTTACTCTCTCTCTCTCTCTCTCTCTCTCTCTCTCTCTCTCTCTCTCGATCCTTGCTCGATTCGCTTTTAATTACTTTGGACCTTGCGAATATCTGTCGTGTCTAGAACCGGATGACTTCATGGAAACTCTCTTCTTCCGGTGCGCAGCGTCGAGGCGTGACTTGACCTTCGCAAACTGTGATCGTCACGGCGCGTTCTCGTAACTCCTTTCTAATCGATCCACGAGCTTTGATATACCTGGAATAATTGTTGGTTGCGTGTCGCCGTGATCAACACGCCCGTGAGAATTACACGCAGAGAGACAGACGTCATAGTCACCTTCTGTAGTACACTCGGTCTCGAATCATGGAGGAAAGGATGATTCCGCGAGGAAACGCGTATAATGTAACATGGTTTCGCCGTGACTTTGGCCGAGAGACTTTTATAGAGATTCTACCCTTTTACGGAGAAACGATCTCGACGATATAGGGGAGATCGAGAACACCGGTTTCCATTTCTGCCTTGCGATTAGT